GGCGTGCGGGGGAGGAAAGGGGTCCGCTTAGCGTAATAGACTCCAATGTCGCATCGCATATCCGAGCAAAGAGAGTCGCGTCCCCGCGAGTGGCAGTACCTCGGCCCCCCGCTGGTGCCCCGGCGGTGTACGCCCGTGCCCGCGCGCCTCGCGGGCCCCGCGGCGCCGCTCGCACACCGGAACCGTCACCGGAAGCAGGGCATCCCCGTTGTTGTCTGGCGCGGGGGATGATTGTTTAGCGTGCGGCCGAGGCAGTGCCCGGTAGGCAGCGGCCGAGACCGACGAGCCGCGCACCACCAGTCCGCCATGGGGTGGCCGAGGCCACGCACCCGCTGCGCACCTCCGCGAGGAGCTGGACTGCGTCTGCCCCAAGTCAACCACAGCCCCCCCTGAGGCGGACACGGCGGACACAGCACCTTTGAGGGACTGATATTTTTAATGTAAAAATCCTGATTGTGTCGCTGTTGAACCTCCACGATGACGTCGGCGCAGACCGAGGAAACGCTCAGCAAGGTAAAGCCCACCAAGACGATGATGTGGTTCGGCGGGAAGGGCGCGGCGCACCGTGGGGAGGGGCCCGGGGTCGCCGTTTGCACGGGGCCCGCCGCCGTCGCCACCCCCTGCCTCGACCGCCCCACCCCGCCCGCGGGCGGGCTCCGCTGTCCTGGCATCGCGTGCCTGTTCATTAGGCAAACGGTCGCATGTCAGGCGAGCGCGGAGTTTGGACCGAGCGCGCGCGCGCGCGTATGTGTTTTAACCAAACCGCAATGACAACGCTCTTGTTGAATCGTTTTGAGGTTCTCACCCCCTCACGAGGCAAGGCATGTCCCGTCATAACTTTCTGTTAGTTTGTTGTCACGTCAATCTTTTCTCACACACTCGACCAATACAGCGCCTCTTCCGCTCCCTCTCCCCCTCTCCCCGCTTCTGCCCCATCCAAGCCCTTATCACTGGCGCGCAGCCAGCCACCCGCGCCTTGCCATGTGGGAACCGGTTCTCCTGTAAAGGTAATCCGGTTGGTAGAGGGAGGCAATCTCATGCAGATTGGAGGTAATCCGTCACAAACGCGCGAAAATTATTTCAGCAGTCGATTCCCTCCTGTTTCTAGAGCCTAGCAGCAGCCTGACACACCCCTCATGCTCGGCGGGCGTTAGGCCCCTCGCTGCTGCCCAGCCCACCCAGCCCCATAGCACCCTTTCCCACTCTCTCGACCGCGAGAAAACTTCCCGCCGACACGCTGCTGCGGTCGCGCGGGCGGGGGCGGCGGGGGTGGAGTGGGGGCGGCGAAACAGTCTCTGTTATCAGTTGCCGATACAAAGCACGTGCTTGGCACGTGGTAATAGCCCCCGGCCGGCAGTCGGCCGCACACCTCCACCGGGGCGAGACAGGAGGTCGCAGCAGCAGCCACCCGCGGCCTCCCCGCGAGAGGCGCCGCCAGGGCACCGCCGCCAGCCCCGCGTCAAGGGCTCCTGCCGCCGAGCGCCCGCGGACACGGAGCTGTGCTGCTGTCCATGCTGGACGAAATGTGTACCGTGTATGCTTTTCTGTTTTAATCGGGTCTATGGCCCGCTGATGATGTTTGGTATCGTGATGGTGGTGAGATGGTGTGGCGTGAAGTTGTAGGGTTGGGTGGGGTAGGGGGGGGGTGCTACACGGTGTGTTCCTTGCGGGCTACGAGAGTTTCACCACCCCACATACTCGTCCGAGGAAGTTCTTATGGCCACCTAAAGCCTCGTGAGCTGGTGCTGCCTCCTCCAGTGGGCGCGAGGCCTCCAAGTGGTATACGAGCAACCAGGCAGCAATCATGGCCGCCAATGAGGGTATTGCCTCGTACTACTCACGAATCTTGCGTCCCGGTAGACAGTTTCAGGAACGCGTCCGTAAGGTGAGTCGTCCTCCCGGCGGAGAGTGCCATGCGGCCACGCGGGTTGGTGTGGGGCAAGGTTCTGATTGATTTCCTGATCTTCCATTATTGTGGACCGAGAACCGAGCTGAGACCATACTGCGTTTCTTCGCTAACCGCTAACAGGTGGTCGCCCCATAACGGTGCACTTGGGTGTGTCAGTGTGCTACATCGAATACCCGTCCATCTGGTCCCTGCTGCCTCAATCCCCCCCCCCCTGTCGCACCCCATCCCCTACACCACCGGCACCACCCCAACCGAACCCACCCCGTTTCACGCCACCCCCTGTTCGTTCGCTCGCAGGTCCTATCGAACTCCCACCCCCACTGCACTCTCCCCTTCCATCTCCCACCCTTTCACGCCACACGTCATGCCCCCACGACTAACCATCTTTAGTTTGAAACTTTTCCCCGTCAATGTCCGTAAATCATTTTATTATAAAATGGGCATTTGTCGCCGTTGAAAACATGCGGTACATTTCCAACAGCATGGATCGCACCGGACAATGCGTCGCCAGAGACGGAAAGGGGTAGATCAGAATGAACCCCGAAACTGGCATATTCGCCTCGCTGGCCGCCACCCTCCGACCCGTGCCCGCGAAGGACAAGGAGGGCGAGGAGGCGGCGGCGGCGGCGGGCGCCGCCGAGCCACCGGCGGACAAGTCCCCGGCCAGCCCGACGCTCTCCAAGAAGACCCAGACCAAGCTGCGACACTGCTCGCGCCAGACTGCTGCTGGCGAGAACCGGGTACAGACAACTAAAATAATTAAAGATCAACTTTCAGCCCCATAGCACCGCTTATTTAATGCCTTGAACCAGGTGGTAAATTTGACCGTGATGTGGCCACACCTGTTGGATTGTTGAGTTTTCCGGCCTCTAGAAAATTTACTGTGTGATATGCCTTCATATGGGTGTAGGAAATCATGGAGTAAGTTGCGCCCCGGGTGACGCGCAAGGGCGTTCGCGAACCTGCCCGCTGTAGGTCGTGCAGGGGGCGCGCGGGGCGCGCGGGCGCGCGGGCGCGCGAGGTGCGGGACGCGGGGCTAACCTCCCGATGGATGCCGTGCGCCGTCAGCTGACGGCTGACAGAGGGCGGCGTGGCGCTGCGCGGCGCCCCGGCCCGGCCGAGCGTCAATCACCTGCGCCTGCTGCGGCGGCGGCCGGCGCCGGGGGCTGTCCCTGCTGCTGCTGCTGCTGCCGCCCCCGCTGCCGCCGCCGCTGCTACCCCCGCCAACCCCCGGGGAGGCGGTGGCAGTGATGCCGGCGTCGGCGGCGCCCAGGCAATAACATGGAGAGTCCCTGGCTGTCGTTGAACCGGGAGGGGCAGGAGGTGGAGGAGGGGCGCGGCTCCAGGCACCACGGCGAGGACGCCAGTCCAGTCGCAGTGCGGAGCACCTGCGGGAGGGCCACCTCCGCGTCGGCCCCCGCGCGCCCGCTCGCGCACGGCCATGGCCGCGTATCGGCCACGGCGCGCGTGACGCCTGCGTCGTCCATACGCAAACGCACAAGTCACATACAGAGTTTAGCGCGCGCGTGTAGTAGCGCCAACTCGGCGGCAGGATGTTCGTCCACGGCCCCAAGATGGTCCGGCACGTGGACTCGGAGTCGGAGGAGGAGTTGGAGGAGATTGACGAGGAGAGGCCCGGCGACATCCTGCAGGTAGTACAGGCCGGGCGGAACCTGTCTTTTGTGTGTCGACAGAGTTAACTTTCAGAAACGTAATTAAACGAGAAGGCGGGTTAAAACTTAATTTTAAAGAACTTTAATGAGGAAGAGGCTTGTTTCTAGGGAAGGGGGGGGGGGGTGAATAGAGACTTGATTAGACTCTAATATGGTGCGGTATTTGAACCTTCCCGCCTCCTGTCCCGCAGCGCCGCCGCGAGGAATGCGAGCGCAAGGCGCGGCGCGGGGAGATGGACCCGCGGCTGGAGTTCACCTTCCAGCTGCTCATCGACGGCACGGGGCTGCCCAGGTCCGACATCATGGACCACGTCTTCGAGGGCAACATGCTGGACGAAATCAACCAGCTGTTCCTGCCCCACATGCGCAACAAGCTCCTCTGGTTCTACCAGGAGATCGAGGAGGGCGAGGGCGCGGCCGACGGAGTAAGTTTATTTTTCTGACATTTTTCGATTTTCCTGCGCCGCGCGTCGACATTTGAAACGAGATTAAAGCAGGCGATCGATTTGCAGAAACCGGCGGGGGCGGGCGCGGCCAGGGCACAGGTGCCGGGCAAGCCGGCGAGCGGCCCCACCGTGCCCGCCAAGAAGAAGCTGTTCCTGACCGACGGCTGGCAGCTGCCGCTCACCGGGATATGCATCTACATGTTCAGGCTCAACACCGGCAAGCAGCTGCCCGAGGAGGGCTTTCACAAGGTGAGCCACACCTGGAAACCCTGAAGGTCTTGAACGTGTGATCTGAACCGAGAGGTCCTTTACTAATTAGGTACAAGCATGCACCGATTTTTCTGTTTCCTAGTTTTTTCTAAT